GCTCGCCCGGGGCCCTGGGGCAGGAGCCGTGAGCCCCTGCAGCGCTCCCACCCTGGGGAATTGGTGGGTGCAGCTTCGCTTGGCCCGCACTGGGTGGCGGAGGCAGGTGCTCCCGCGATGATCCCGAGTTTCCTTGTAGTCGGAGCCTCAGCCTCTAAGCGCCGTGGAAACACCTGGATGTGCCATGCGAGACGTCAAGCTGGTTCGGGCCTTTTCTGATGTTTTGCTTGATGTGGGATATGTAGATAAGGAAGATGTAGACACAGAAGATAATACTAACCTGGACTTGTGCATCGACTATGAGAAGGACATCTACAAGTATCTGGGAGAACTTGAGGTTGGTAAGAGTAGGTTAGAACTGCAAGGGGCATCTGCTCACACAGTGAACCTCTCATTAGTTCATTATCAGCTTGGAGCTGGTATTCATTTTCACCTGTGGATTTTCCTGAGACACAAATAAGTGATCCTTCAACTTTAAAATACAAGATTAAACTGAGCTGATAAGATAAACAGGTCCTGGTTGTTAAACCAATTTAACTAGTAGTACTAGTACCATGTTCTTTCTAGCCCATCTCTAGTAAGCAAAGAAACCTTGTGCCCTGTGGTCTACACCTATGGGCTATTCCTCTACTGAACTCCTTGATAAGCCTTAAGATGCAACAGAGTCGAGGCACTGCAAATGCTTCACCTAAGTGACTACATCTATTAACTCTGTTCCCTCCACACAGAAAAATCAAACTATCAGACCCAAATACCTGGCTGGTTGGGAAATTGATGTGAATATGCATGCCTTACTAGTAGACTGGCTTCTGCAAATACAGATAAAATGCATGCTCCTTCAGGAAACCTTGTACATGACAGTTGCTATCATTGATCGATTCCTGCAGGTGAGTGTCTCATGCCCAGTGTCAGGCAATGCTTTTCCCCTAAGCCCTAAAGCACAACCAGCACTGATCGTATGTGGCTAGACATGTTAACTTTAACAAAATAAAGTGACCAACAGAGGGCATTTGATTTGAATTGTATGCACCACATAACCCTCTCAGCTATGAACAGTGAGCTGATATACCAATATTCCTTACTCTTCTCCCTAATTTGATCTCAAAGTCTTCTAATACCCCTCCTGTTGCCAACAGAGGTAACAGCTGATGTACAGTTATTCAGTATATGCCAGAATGAACATCCTGATATGGAACAAACCTTAACATTGGCTACCTTGAAAAGCAGTGTTCTGAGCTAAGTCATTCAGATAAATTTCTATTTCATCTTACTACAGGACAATGATGTTGCCAAGAAAACATTGCAGCTGGTGTCTCAGCTGTGTTAATTGCCAGCAAGTACGAAGAGGTTTATCCCATGAGTATTGGAGACTTTTTGTGTATAACTGGTGGCACTTACACAAAGTTCTAAGTCCACCATATGGAGAGGAAGATCCTGAAAGCCCTGGACTTCTGCCTGGGTTGTCCCCTCCCTCCACACTTCCTAAGGAGGATTGCAAAAATAGCAAAGGTAATGCTGAGAACAGGTGTTGCTGTAAGCAACTGAAAAATATAATACTCGACTGTGGCAGCTCGTTAAAATGCTTCAAAACTTTTGAGTACTGCAACAGTTCAGCAACGAAGCCTGGTTGAGACCTGTCTCCCATGTATGATAGAAACAGGTCTCGTTTGCATTTAGTCACATGAGTCTAAACCACAAAACTCCCGCCTGGTACTGCAGGTAACCACCCAGCTGCCACTGAAAGGAGTGGTCATACACTGTTAACAGCTTAATGCAGCTCAGGACTCTCTGTGATTAAATTACTTAAATTTTAAGCCTATTGCTTAATGGAAATGTTCACTTAAGGAAGTATTTCTCCCTGCTTGACTAAACAAAGGCTTGACAGGAAGCTTTTGCCTTGGAGATAGCCAATACTCAACTCTGATCTACTGCAGGTGAAATTCAGAGAGTATTCTCTGGCCAAGTACCTGATGGAGTTGTGCATTATGGACTATGATATGGTTTACTTCCCTTCATCCAAAATTGCAGCGGCTGCTGCCTGTTTGACTCTGAAACTCCTTAAGGGATGCAAGTGGGTAAGTCATGCTTGTCAGACCACCTTCTAGTGTGGGACTCTGTCTGTGCCTGTGCACCAGCTTAAAAGGCTACTCTGGGCCAGGTGCATGCCTGCTGCTTCCCTCATGGTATCTTCACATGTTCTTGTCTCCCCTTGGCCCTTTACAAGGGGACAGCACTAGGGCAGTAATTGTCAACCCTCCTCTGCGAGACAGGAGACTGCAATTACCCAAGCCCAACAGAAGACAAAGAACTCGGTGTACTCATATTGTTCTAGTAGGCTTGTCTAATGAATTATTTTCCTTTCAGACACCAACTCTGCAGCACTGCACGTCTTACACTGACAGCAACCTTCTCCCAGTTATGCAGCACATAGCAAAGGAACATTATTATTGTGAATGAGGGCAGTACCCATTATAAAGTAAGAACTGCACAGTGCAAGTGGGGATTATGTGTGATTGAGTGTCTGAAGCTGGCTCGGCTGAGCCACTGCTGTCAGACGAATCAGACCGACTCACTTCAGCTGAAGGTCTCTATCTTGCCAAAGTTGCATGAGCCAGCCATGAACTGGTCTTTTCTGTGCTAGAATGTGTTTGGCTTGACCACCAAGCCTCAGATGAGCTGGAATAGTGTAAGTTTGTAAACAGGGTACACTTAATCAAATTTCTCTCTCTGCAGGCAATCAAGAATAAATATGCCATGAGCACAAATTACAAGATAAGCACTGCCGAAGAGCTGAATTCTTCCATTATCTGGGATCTAGCTCTACCTGTAATTAAATATTGATAACTCCTATCTGAACTCATGCAGAACCTTGGCACTGTGTGTAACTCTGTGTATAATGTATACTATTTCTGTGTTTTGGGCTTTGAATAAAACATATCTACCTTTCACTTGTGGTGTTTGTGGTAGAGAGTAGCATCTGCCAGATTAGTCAGAGTGCAGTTTTATTAACTTCCATAAAAATCCAGTAAAATAAATATGTATTAATAACGTATCTAGTAACTGTCTACCTGTAGGAGAATACTGGTCAGAGAGCTGTGTCTACCTTCACTTCCAAGTGATTAATTATTCTTTGCCTACCACTCTTGTTACTGTAAATTTGGTCTCTTAAGACTTAGTTTGAAGTTTTTAGAAGGCAGGCATTATTTATTGCAGCACTGGATGCACATGGGATCATTCTACCTAACATGTATACACTAAAACAAAAGTTAATTCTTTATATTCCTTAAAGATACTAATATTCACACATTTTTCCAATTTTTCCACCTTTCTATCTATTACATTTATATAATGCTGGTGTTGCAAAATTACACTACACATATGTGGGGTCTCAGGTGGTCATTTGGGGAGTTAACCCCCTACTCCCTTTTTCCCTCTTATGGTCATGAGTCTTTCGAGAGCAAATTCTTCTCCTTGGATGTTTCCTAGATCTGTTGTCTGCCAAGATGGTAATTCTTATCTGCCTTGTTGTTTCTGCCAGGTTATATCTATTCTCAAGGTTAGGATATTTTCTCTCTACATTTTAAATACAAAGTTAAACATCATTTGATAAAAATAATTTCTTAATATTTAAGGTATAATAGCTCACCAATTGTTACAGGTCTTAATTTGCAGGCACCAACTGCCCGCAAGCATCAGCTAGTAGGCATCCCTCTTCCTGTTTTTCGATTTTTTTTTGTCTTCCTTACATGTATTTAACTGTATGCCTGTTGTCCTTTGTTATGGATTAATCATAATTTAAAATGAAATCACCACCTTAAAATTTTAGTGGTCAGTAAAATTTATTAGCAAGCGAAAGTGAGCAAAACAGCGCTGGGTGTACCGGAGAGTCTCTGCTCCACCAAGGCGCACACCTTACATCCCGAAACGGAGTCCTTTTAAAGTGCAGCCTTCATGAATATCCCTCTGGTTCAGGGATGACGCTGTGCCCCCCCGCCAGACAAAACCTGCCTTCCCGCCTGGCGGCCGAGCACCGAACCGCCGATACGGAAGAACAGGCCCCGGATTGGCCGGCAGGCAGAAGCAATCGTCGGTCGCGCTGCTGAAGGGTGCGCGCGCGGTATTTGAATTCGCAGCGATGGAGCCGCTACAGTGCGAGCAGGCCGGGATTGAGGCCGGGGCCGGGGCCGAGGCCGAGGCCGAGGGAGGAGCCGTGGCTCCCGGCCGCCGGAGGCCGTTCGGGGCGGGGGCGAGGTGGGCTTCGGCCGGCGGCTGTTCGTGGTGCCGGGGTGGACAGGTGGCCGC